TCAGAGATCAGCTGCTGGGCTGTCAGAAGAGGGGGAGGAAAAGAGAGGCTCCGTTTATTATTCTTATATTATTATATAGTCGTTATTCATTTGTTTTAAAGCTCAATAAATAACAAAGAAGACCGGCACTTTTCTAATTTTGTCCGGAAGATTTCAACTTTAACGGACATGTTGACCGGCGAAAAAAAATGTTAACGGAAACTCTGCCGCACGGTTCCCTCATCCCTTGGAAGAGGCGGAGAGGTGGGTGTTTTTCATCTGCTGGTGGACTACCGGAGAGATATACAGCAGGAGAACATGCCGTCCACCTCGGAGAATAAACTGAAGGACAACCATAGCAACCATGTTCCGGGGTCTTCTTAGCTGCTTTTGGTGTATTTTGTGGTGGCAGCAGCGCCACTTACAGGCCCGGCATATGTACTACAGCGTTTCCAGCGTTTCCAGCGGTCTCGTATGAACGGACACGTTACTTGAGCCGAATGCGTGTGAACAGACTTTTTTGAAAACGCATACGGTGCATAAACGCAAACGTTCCTGTGTAAATGGGGTCTCAACTTTCCCCCATTTTCTGTCTCTTTCAGTTCCTGTCTCTTGCTTTTGCACGCCATTTCTAGCACTGAATCTTTTTTTTCCCGATGCGGGCCAGTGCAAACTCCAAGAGTTGTTCCTTTCTTTAGTTCACTCTCTCCTCTACCTTTTTTACTCCGCCTGCTCAGGTGCTGAGACCACCTGCTGCAAGACAGATACTTTGGGAACTAACTGTCTGCATATGTGTGAGCTTTTTTGTCTGCATGATCAAACACCCACATTTTAGCCTTCAGCAAAATGCCCTGTTTAAGATGCAAAGGATACACCAGTGCAGGTATTAGAGGGAGGATATGAACTGGTGGAACTAATAAGCCCCAAGCTCGATTGCCCACTCTTCCTTTTTTTTGCTATCTCTTCCTTGTTCTGTCTCTCCTTTCCCATGTAGCCAATTTATAAAAAAGTCAGCTTATCGTTCAAGGTGTTTGATCAGGGGAATGAGAAGAGGGGATTGCAAATAGATAGAAAAGGCTGTGTCATTTTCTGAAAACTCTTTCATTAAACAGTCATTTACAAATATGTACTGTCCCTGATTCCACTCTAAGAATATGTCCTAAAAAACACATATCAAATCTGAACAAACAGATAAATGATACAGTCAGACCTGCTCTGCCACTCGAGCTGTCGCTCAGTGACACAGTCAAAGTCTGGAAACTAATTGAGAAAGAAAAGTAAATATAGAGCCTGACCAAGTGATCCTGTTCTTCCTTTATTCTACCTGGCAGGGATTTGTAGACTGACATAATGAAAGTAGCTCAAAACCATTATGTCGTCTGCAACAGATAGTTCAAGTCTTACGTTTTATCTACTTTAAAGTTTTCAATTTGGATTTCATTTAAAAAAATGAATAATTTAAATCTTAATGACTAAAAAATCTTTTTTTAGTCATTTGAGAAAGACTTTCACGAAATTCTGACCTCAACTTGCTCCACAACCCCCCTCCTCCTCCACCTCCCCCCACTGGCAGCCACTCCCACCTCATCAGCTCACCTGTGCTCCCAGCTATAACTCATCTCCAATCAGACCAGTATTTAAGCCTCTCATGATCTCAATGCCAGATTGTTCTTAGCCTTCCATGTAAGACTGTCCAGCGTTTTGTTCCGGACATGAGTTCCTGTTGCTGACCTTGCCTGCCTCTGACCTGCCTTTTATCTGATTCCAGGTAAAACCCACCGGCCCCGATTTTAGTAGTTTCAGCCATATACTTAGTTGTTTTATTTGCTTGATGCAAGCCAATAATTATACCCTTCTGAAACCGATTAACATCCTTTTCATGACCGCAGGATAAATCTTCCAATCGAATCCAATCAAATGTTATTTAGATAGCATATTTAAAAACAACAGAGTTGACCAAAGCTCTGTACATCAATAAATATATAAAATCCAGCATAAATACATTAAGACAAAACCGATAGGACAAAAAACAAATACCTATAGCCACAGACTGAAAAACTCTCATACACGATGTAAAAACAATATCAAACACAAGCAAATAGAAAACCCCAATTTAAAAGCACAGACTGATAAGACTATAACATGCTGTTAAAGAAATGAGAAGTTAAACACCTGATCAGCTCGGGTTAAGTTACTTGTTGCCAGCTGAAATATATTATTCACTGCAGTAATAATCCAATGGAAGGCTCTTACCAATTGGCTTAGTTAAATCCAGTTGGTGACATTACATATTTCCCTGGTTTCCTGTGTTCTGCATTTGGGTTCAAACACACCCCGTTACATTTTCTTTCTTTTCGGATTATTCCCCTTCCACACCCTGTTCCTGCTCCTCTTGTTTTAACGCTCCAGCATTGAGTCAAAGTTAATCGGCTTTATTGTGCACTTTTATTGTGCAGCAGAGCTCGGCAGTGCGCAAAAAGATAATGTGTGTTCCAATCTTATAAATGTGTATGAGATAGCTTAATTTGGGCAATATCCCAACAATTGTATTGGTTGAGCACCCATGGGAACACAGTGTATTTTCCGTCAAAGTGGAGTATTTTGGAAAGCAACGAGAGCTTCCACAGAATCGTTTGCCGTGGCAAGGACAAAAGAAACTTGGATTGAAATGTTTAAAACATTTTTCATTCCAGTTCCCAAGGTGCCAGTTCACACAGCGCTGAAGGAACTTTTAATTACATTCACGACTCGCAGCACAATGACTAATGAGAATTTTAGGCTTTGTGGATCGTTGCCATTATTATTATTTTTTTAATTCACCGCTCATGTATTCCAACTAATTGTTACCCAGCAACTCCATCAGTGGTTTGGCTCAATATGTGAGTCCAGTTCATGGAGATAGCGTGTGGGGTGTTTAGGTCTTTAGGGTACGCTCTGGGTGAAGATTTAATAGAGCATATGGCAAATCTGCTCATTTAAAGATTCCTTTCCGGTGTCAGGAGTCATGTGGTTAGAAAACATTTCTAAAAGGAGAATTTAAAGAGTTGGACAAATAAAACGAGAGCTGTTTTGATGGGTAAACCGATCTAAATCCACTCCCTAATTAGATTTTGCTCTGCCTTTGTAGCTTAAACTGAGCAAAGATCTGCAATATTTAATATGTAAAAACTGGTTATAATGTGAATATAAATGATCTTTTAAGAAATGATGGGTGTTGAATTTTTTACAACAACACTGTTTGACACACATCATAGGGATTCAGTGTGTCTCTCAACAAATCAACAAAACAGAATTAGTCCGCGCTGGCCCCATGCACTGTTGTCACCATGGCAACAGCTTTTCTTCCTATCTCTCGCTGCCATGTAACCACCTTGCACCTGTCTGAAACACGTCCTGGGAAGTTCTTATCAGGTTCTGGCTCTGTCACTCTTCACTAGGCAGCAGGGGAGAACTGAATTCACAATGACTGAAAAGCTGCAACCAGTTAATATAAACAAGCTCTCCAAGACAGACGTGTCTATTCATCTGCTGACAATTTGTGAAGCCACAGAGGACAATGCAGTGAGGGTCTGGTAGGAGTAGGACACAAGAGTTTCCTGGATCAGTATGGGTTCTTGGTTAAGACATGCTAAAATACAGGCAAGTCATACCAGAAATAAATCTCAGATAAAACACATTTTGTCCTTACCAAGCTCTGATCTCAGAAAAGGCAGGGGTTGTCCAATCATACTGTAGCTAAGCAATCATAACTAGATATGGTGGCTGTTTGAAGGAATGGTTTTATTACATTGTAAGGCAGTGTTCATTTGAAAAGAGAGACACTTGGTGAGTAATGTCTTTTTTTTTTTAGCACTAAACAAGAACTGAAGGGGATTAAATGAATTAAAAGGTGTGTTTGTGTTTGCCTGATCTAACATAAGCTGCAACCGAGCAGTACTTACAAGGCCAAAGGAGTACATCATCAGCTGATTAGTTTTGATTTGTTCAATCTCACTATAAACTTGATTATCCACTTGTGGACAGGTTATATTAAGAAAACAAAAAAAGGCATGACGCTGTTTCTTAGTTCCTCCCTCTCTCAGCACCATCAACATTATCTTAATTAGTATCTGTCCTGGTCTATATTAGACTTTGGGAAGTTTAGGCTTCTGCAACCCCAGCCATTGTTACCCAAAATAACATTGGTTATTAACACATCAGTTAGTCTTCAGGCTCTTAAAAGTGAAAGCTTTGAAATACAAGTGTAAGCTAAGCAGCCTAATGTTTTTATGTCACAAAAAACTGAGAACAAGAACACTGTGTATTCTGTGCTGAAAAAGAATGAACAGCTAGAAAGGCATAGGAACAATGTACGAGTTTTAGGTCTTAACCAACCGTCATTTCTACCATCTCTGAGTAACGACATTTTCTTCCTTTCATTCTTTTCCTCTGACAAATCAATCTCCCCTCAGCTCTCCGTCTCAATAATTAACCCTCTCTCTCTTTTGCAACGCTTTCCTGATTTGCCTTTCTGAGAGTAAGGATGACACCTAAGATCTAACTTGGGACTTTAGATCAATTCTGTTTGTTCTTTTAGCCTGGTGGGGATCTGTGGGGAAAAGTGCTTTTCTCTGCTCTTTTGAATCCAGAGGGCCTCAAATGCCACTAAATTCCTTTACTAGATTTACCATCTTGTCATATATTTGCGCTTACACAAATACACAATTGAGAAATCGTACTTTGAAGAACCTCATTTTTATTTAAATATTTTGGAAGAATAAAGAAATGAGTAATTAATTGAAAGGTCTCCTATTATACTATTTTTAGGCATATATTATAGGTCTCAGATATTTAAACAGCATGTCTCCGAAGTGTTTTGCTCAAAATACCAAACAGATCACCCTTTCTAGCCATGCCTCATATCCCTATTTCACCCCTGTTAACCAGTCAACAATGAGCCAGAAGTGATTTCCTACCTCTCAAGCCCTAAATTAAAATTGAGTCACACTCATCAAAATAATGAAAATGCAGTTGCTACTCACACATTGAAGAGATTGAGGCCGATGCGGTAGAGGCGTTTCCGCATGACGTCGGTGGACAGGGTGGGGGACTTGCAGCTGGCGGGGTTCTCACACTGATAGCGCGGCAGGCTGAGGATCATGGCCTGCAGCGCCTCCTTGGACGAGGCCTCAGACGTGGAGCGGGCCTCTGTGGACGTGCTGCTGCTGCTCATCTGCTCCGAGCTGTTGTCTGCCGTCTCTGAGCCGCACCTCTTCACCTCCAGCGGCTGTGCCATGGGGGAGCTCACCATCAGAGCTGGAGGGGCGTACAGGGGCTCTGTATGCGGTGGCACCATCTCCTCTGGGCTCTGAGGAGCAGCCATCTTATCCAGAGGGGTGAGGGGAGGCTGTTCGTCATCCCCAATCTCTTCTTCACTCGGGGGAGGAGCGGGGAAATCATCATCGTCCTGCTCGTCTTCTTCTGATTCCGGGGGCGGAGGGGGCTCCTGGGAAGGCGGCGGGGGATATATGGGTTCAGCTGGGAGTTCAACATGAGGAGGTGGGGGCTCTTGTGAGGGGCCAGGAGGTATGGAGGCCGGAGTGAAGTTTGAGGAAGCAGATGTGACAATGGCGGGGGTTCCTTCTGGTTGGATGCTGCTGCCGAGGGTGACCGTGGACGATTCCAAGACTGAAGATGAGACGCGGAAGTTCTGGGCGTCAAACTGCACCGTCACATCGCGGAAAGCCATCATCAGTTTGCTCGCGCTTCTCGACAGGTCACTCGGGTCCACCGGGACTTGAGGAAGCGATGACTCCCTCACGACTCCTCCTCCCCCCCCCCCCCACCTCTGCTGCTGCTGCGGCTGCACTGAAGGAGTCGGCAGTGAACTGATAGGTGCCACCTTCTTGCAGTGAGCACATGGTCTTCAGGCTCCAGTTGCTGAGTGCATCGTCTATAGACTTGGCCAGAGACTGGACCTGTTCCGTGAAGGAGTCTTCCAGGTCGGTCAGGCTGCCGCCCACCGTGGCTGGCAGGGACGGTGAGCGCACCAATGGGATGCCTGTGAGGTTGCAGCCTTCTGCCAGGGCCCGTTCAGCGGAGAAGCCTTCAGTGTTTTGCACACGGACCTTTCGCAGGGAGATGCGTCGAGGCAGACGACTCTCCAGAAGCGAGTTGCGGATCTTCTCGAAGTTCTTGCTGAGCTGGTACTGGCGGAAGGCGGTCTGGATCTTGCAGGCGGCGCGGCGGGAGATGAGGTGGCCCCCGTATTTGTGCTCTAACATTTCGATCTAAAAATAGAAAGAAGGGTAGAAGGGAACATAATTAATCACTGTTGTATTTTTTAAGTTAAGAGTCAAGTCAGGACAATCCACAATTGTAAATAAAACCATTGGTACTCATTCACATGTGACAATTAGGCTGCGTACTGATTAAACGGCAGAAGAAACACAAGATTTACACAAAATTGTAAAAATAAAAACATTGCTAAGGAATCCCATAATCCCCTATTTAAAAGACACTTGTGTTTGTGAAAAGGCCACTACCAGTGTTTAAAAAATGTTCATATTCTCCTGCCTGTCACTGTGCTGCATGGAAGATGAATATGGTTTATTAGTTGATTAGCAGTGTACAAAAACATGGAGCGTGTGGGTGGGAGATGAATGAGTTGGACATTTAAAAGGATGGAATAATTGTAGTAGTTAAAGAAAAACAGATTCAAATCCCCTGATGAAAAGGAGTAGGCAAAAGGAAAATATTAAATTCATCTCAATTCAAATAATTATATAATCCGATGGTTTGCAAATGTTATTCTGCAAACTGGCTTTGTGTACCGACACTACAACCAGTTTGGTCAAAGCCCCTCATTTCTAAGAGAGAACAAGGCTGACTCGTGGCATTTGGACAAAGTGTTCATTTCCTCTGCAAATAGACCTCATAATCTCTTTGAATTCCATAGAGGAGTCCTCCACACAACTTGAAATTGTCTGAAACTGAACAAGCCATTAATCTTGCCTGCGAAAAATTGCTCAATTGCTGTGGGAAATAGATAGAGATGTAATATAGCGGTTCTCATCTGGCAGCCGCTCAAACACTCAATGAGACCTCTTTGAGTTTCCCAGAACAATCAGGGTGTGGGTATCTTTTGAAACGCTCTTATCTCCTACAGCCACTCTCAAAAGCCTTTTTTCTTTCAGACTAAATCAATGAATATAATTCTGCTCCTGTTCTAACTGTATCAAGGGTCTGCGTGTGGAGGAGGATTCAGCTTTAAAACAGAAGCAGTGTCACCTTCTGTCATTTCACAAACATCAAAAATAATATACGTGTCCTGGTGTGAAGTTCTATCATAAAAAAGTGCACATTAAAAATGATTCTAGCTGCTTTCTTGTGTCAGGGCGCCGGTACATGAGCATTAATGTGGTCGAGGTAAGTTATCTTCTTGTAAATTAAAATGCAAGTGAACGCACAGTCACTGTGGCCACGAAGGATCAAAGTGTGACTTTCAGCTGTTAATCTGCTCTCGCTTTAGTCCGGGACAAAGTCACCCAACCAGCTCCTGATAGGCTGTAATGCCTCGAGGGTTTGCAATTTGTGATAAGTGGCTAGTTCAACAAGATGCAGCCTCTGCCGTTGTCGCAAGAGGTACGGAATCACATACAAAGCTCTTCAGAAAAGTGGAATGACACTAAAAATCCATTTTATCTACTCTATTTACATTTCCCTGCAGAGCCTCTGCGTGCAAAGTGAGACGAAGTGAGAATATTAAGGCGGTTCCTGAATTGGAAGCTGGGTTAGAGCTCTACTGTATCTACTGATGATTCTCTTTCTGTGCAGCAAGATCGATCTCAGCCTGAATATTCATCACTTTTAATCTCCATTGTTCTGCGCCAACATTTACAAGGTTAACTTTATTGCATTGACTGCGCTCCCAACTAGACAGTGTTTTTTTTCAAGACTGGCACAGAGATAATACGATTGACCTCATTCAGAAAGGTGTCCCTCATCCAAACAAAATCCCCCAACAGTCCCACTGCAGAGGTGCCCTTGGTGGGGAGGAAGGGGCTGTCACTCTGGCTGCGTTTGATTAAATGTGGCAGTGGAGCTTGTTTGTTTTGCCTTGTGCGTAAGCAGGGTCGGGGATGATGAATAAAGCATTTGGGTCACGTTGCTTTCTCTACCAGAGTGTGTATCTGATACACTTTGCCATTCAGATTACAGCCACCAGGATGAGCTGGGAGATGATGGATGGGGGGAGGAAGCGTGGAGAGGAAGCAGACTGTAAGAAAACAGGACAGGATTTCATGCCAGTTGAGCATGGGTTGTGATAGGACTAGAGATGAGTTTTCCCACTGGTTTTATTGTAGTAAAACCACTATAAACTTAGTTTGCCAAAGGGAGCTGTATATGTGGATCATCCTCTTCGATTCGACGCCTTCATGCTTTACATTGTCATAAAAACACTTCCTTCTCTAGAGCCTACAGGCTAATGCTGGAGTGGAGGTGGGGCTTTTTGAAAAGTTTGATTATAGTGTTATTACCATCTGATATTTGTTCCAACAATCTAATCATGGATATTTGAGAGCTGCACATCAGTGGTTTGAACCTCTTTACAGATAACTAGATGTGATAAAAGGGGAGGACATAAAACAAGGTGGATGAACAGAGTACAGAAGACACAAAAAACAAATGTATTGACGGGAAGATGAGAAGAGATAAGAGGTGATGAGACGGATGACCACGCTGTCAGTTCTCGCTCTGATCACTTCACTAGTAAGTGCTGATGGAGAGAGATTATTCTGGAGACACGGAGATTTGAGAGAACAGCGATGGCACTGCTCTATTCCACCGGGGCTCTAAATCAATTTTGAGGGGCAGATCAGCCCCATGCTGACCCCATGTTCTCCTTTGAATGAATGAATCAAGGTGGAAAACAAGCCAGTGGTTAGACACTGCATTGTGAGGTTTTACATCTATGCACAAACGCACAAATTCTAACGTCAAATAGACTATATGTAGACAAAAAGTTTTATGTTTAGATGTTTTAAAAGAAATAGAAATGGGAGCTAAAATGTGATTTGGAGGAAGGAAGGCTTATTTTAAGAATCGTAGTGGATTTTCAGGTCTTGAAATCTGGGACTTTTCTGTCTTTATATTAAATATTAATACCTATATGTTCTGTGGAAGTTTTAGTGTGTGTAATGTGTCTCAAAACAAAAGGTCAGCCAAAGCACAACACAGCATGTTTAATTTAGAGATTTTTGAGAGGCAGATATACACTGAACAAAAATATAAACGCAACACTTTTGTTTTTGCTCCCATTTTTTATGAGAGGAACTCAAAGATCTAAAATATTTTCTATATACACAAAATAACCATTTCTCTCAAATATTGATCACAAATCTGAAAAAATCTGTGATAGTGAGCACTTCTCCTTTGCCGAGATAATCCATCCCACCTCACAGGTGTGGCATATCAAGATGCTGATTAGAGAGCATGATTATTGCACAGGTGTGCCTTAGAATGGCCACAATAAAAGGCCACTCTGAAACGTGCATTTTTGCTTTATTGGGGGGTCTGGGGGGGTCCGAAAACCAGGCAGTATCTGGTGTGAGGGGTAGGGGTAGGGGTAGGGTAATGTTGTGAATCGAGTGGCCTGTGTTCGTCGTCCATAACATACGCCTGCCCATACCATAACCCCACCACCACCATGGGCCACTCGATTCACAACATTACCCTACCCCTAACCCTACCCCTCACACCAGATTTTTTCAGATTTGTGAACAACATTTGAGGGAAATGGTTATTTTGTGTATATAAAAAATGTTTTAGATCTTTGAGTTCATCTCATGAAAAATGGGAGCATAAACAAAAGTGTTGCATTTATATTTTTGTTCAGTGTATATTTATGTGCAGTGTTTGTATCCTCTGTCTTCTTCTGGAACTTTATAGGAGAATGTATTCAAATAGCCTGGCAATGCAAGTCTGCCTCAAAGCATTCCTGCTTAGCAGTGTTGAAACTGCAGAAGACATATTTTACTTGTGACATTTCCACTTAACTTGTAAAACGAAATGCATAAAGGGCAAGATTGTAATGGTGGGAACCTCATTAACCTACAACATTGTGAGATTTTATTTTTGTCCAGCAATTCACCCTGTTTATGACACACAGTAAACAGGGAAGTTTAAAAAAAAATATATATAAAAAAATCATCGGTTGTTATAAGCAGTAATTTATTATTACCAATAGGAAGGGCTGCTCCACTCTTTTGAAAATATGCTTATTTGCTTCATATAGCAAACGTTACATGAAAAGATTCAAACTCCTGTCATGCTCCTGGGTCTCGATGTAAGATATGCAAAAACCTCTGTGTAAGTAAAGCAGCACATTATCAGATCACATGCTGCAGAAATAGGGGGCAAAATGAAAAGCCAAGATTATTAGCCTTCATGCTCATGCACTGTGTCTTACAGCACAGAAACATCTGCATGATTAATGAGATGATTATATAACAGCGAAACTGGGACACAACTAATGCTGACTGTATTACAAAATGAGGAGGACAACAGAAGACGTCATCAGAGGATGAAGATCAGGGAGGATGATGCATCCTTGACCGCAGTCAGATACTGAAAAAGGTCAATGTTTACTGAAGACTAAAGGAAAAGAAAAAGTGCAAAAGAGAGATGAGAGTGCTGCAACCTATTGAGGAAAGTGAAATATACATCTTGGTTCCTACTCTTTTCCCTCACCCTTTCCTAAGGGAGTGCATGTACGCAGACACGTTATGCCTCTCCACCTCTGTTCCTTACTTCTTACTTGCTACCCTTTTCCCTCAACCTTTCCTAAGGGAGTGCATGCACGCAGACACGTTATGCCTCTCCACCTCTGTTCCTTACTTGCTACCCCTTTCCCTCAACCTTTCCTAAGGGAGTGCATGCACACAGACACGTTAGTTTAGCTGCTATAGGCTTAGACTGTCGGGTGGGACACCTTACTTCGTCTTTCTGTCTGTTTGTGCCTGTGTACTCTCATGTTGCGAATAACCCAGCTTCCCCCACATTTCTACGCCGGGATCCGGAGTCGAGGCTGATCCTGTCGCGGTCCTGGATCCTGAGTCATGTGTCCTGGATCCTGCCTCCTGAGTCCTGGATCTGGAGTCCTGGATCCTGAGTCCTGGATCCTTAGTCCTGTGTCCTGGATCCTCTATCCTGAGTCCTGGATCTGAGTCCTGGACTTCGAGTCGTGGCTGAACCGGTCTCTGTGGTCCTGCCAGACTCTCATCATACTACTTCCCTGATGGCTCCCACAGGATTGCTGACATCCTCGTGGATTCATCTTCTTATTACAGACACATGCATTTCCTAACATTCGGTCTATATGCTGTAAATGTATTATCTCTTCGATTTACACACGGCATCTATTGCACGTCTGTCCGTCCTGGGAGAGAGATCCCTCCTCTGTTGCTCTCCCTGAGGTTTCTCCCATGTTCCCTTTAAACTGTGGGTTTTCTCTGGAAGTGTTTCCTTGTACGATGTGAGGGTCTAAGGACAGAGGGTGTCGTATTGTCATACTGATATTCTGTACAAACTGTGAAGTCCACTGAGACAAATGTAACATGTGTGATATTGGGCTATATAAATAAACATTGATTGATTGATGATTGAAAGTCAAAGGATTTTGCACCCTAAAAGATAAAATACAGTTTTCACAAAGGACATGCATTGCAGTGCAGTCCAGTTTTCCTATTAATACTTAGGCTGTAGAAGTTATATATTTATATTTAATATATCCTATTAAACTGTTGATATATTGTAACTACTTTAAGCTTCATGGTTAAACATTTTGTATCTGTTAAACATAAAACATGTGTTTTTTTTGTGGATATGAGTTATAAGGATTTGTCCTGGTTAGTTTATCACAAAACATACAAAAATACATTAATGTCATGTAAAAAACTGCCTATGGAATGAAAATGACATTTATCAGCTTTCTAGTAAGGGCATAATAAAACATGCAATGTGAGGCTAAATTTAAACTAGTTTGAAGAAATATAGAGTATAAAAGAGTGCTCAGTAAGTAAGTTAACGCTACTTGGTCATGAGGTTCCTGCCATGCAATCAAGGTATCGCACCACAGATCCAATTACCCTGACATTGATCTGTAGATGCATCAAGCCTAGCTGTACAGACAGAAGATCAATCGGGCTGATCGCGTATCTCCAGCATTGTTGACAGGGAGATAGTGGGGGGGATGTGAGATTAAAGCAGTGAGAATGGAGGTAGTAGCCGAGGTTAAAACAACTTTTAGTCTCAACTAGGGAAGCGATGCGTGAGGAATAGAAGTAAAAAAGTAGGGAAAATGGAGGTGACAGAGAGTGAAAGGAAGCAACCATCTCACAGTACACTCGTTTCAGCTGCTAGTCATGGATAAAATACTTTAAAATATCTGCATTAATGATTTTGTACGTTTTCTTTTCGCTAACTGAATTCAAACAAATTCGGACAGAGTCCAAATTAGTTGTTTATTAAGTGTAATCAAGTGTGCCACAACCCATTTAGAGTTACAGTAATTAAGTAAAGGAGGGAGGTCATCATGACTTGGGCTTTGATAAATAAACCAATTCATCCAAAAACATTGCAAAATCTGACAAATGCAATTTATATTTGGGGCTTCAACTAAGACTCGGTCTCAGACTCCACTGCTGATACTCTGACAATAAATGCTTAGTCAATTAAAACGTCAATAGCAATGTCATCGAGGGTCTTCAACTGTCCTGTTTATACAACCAGCAATCAATAATCCAAAAATAACCAATTCACAATGTTATAAACAGAAATCAACTGCATATCCAACCAAGAATCTTTAATCTGCTAAACTTTAGCATTTCTGCTTGAAAAATAACTACAACATTAGTATGGCACTTTCTTACAGTAGTCCCAAGAGACAGATTTAAAAACAATAATGCTAAAATTAGAAAAATTGAAGCAGCAGAAATAAATAGCCCCACCTGAAGTCCCTAGTTTTTGCCAAGCTCAAAATATTTGGAATCCTACAATTCCCACAATGTAACATAACAGCTGTTCCTTAATACCCAATACAACATACATTATTTCATTGGCTGTATGTTTTCTTGTGACAAGTAAACTGGATTTCATGAGGTCAATTGGTGGAAGATATGCAAAAACTCATCAGCCCAAAAGTTAGACCCAAACTCTGTTGTCTTACCTGGCTGGAGATCCATGGACTGAAGAATGTAGGGTAGATGGATGATAATGAAAACAGATGGCGATGGTTTGATGGTTCTTGAAATGGAGATGATTATGTAATGATTTCCAAGCCCCTGATGAACAGCATGATAAGAAGACAAGCATGTGAACATAGAAACGCATGTTTCAATACCGTCACAGTTCATAGGCATATTGGTTTCACACAAAATTGCTTTAACCGGCTGTAATAAGATGAGAACAGAAAACGGTCACATGCTTTTATTCTCTTTGGAAATGGGGGCTTTTCATCATCCAGAGTGTCTCATAAAGCAGCAGAGAAAAGGCAAATGATGCTTTCTAATCATGCAGATACAAACGCAACTTGTTTGCACATTGATGTGTGTATTTGTACATTACGCCAAATTAATACATTGTGTACAACCTAAAAAACACACAGGAGTTGTTTCATTTCAGTAAATTGCAACACAGCTGAATCAGTGTATACATTATGGTATCTGAAAAGGCTCAAATCCAAATTTGGTGAAAGCCAAAACCCTCTGAGGATGCAGATGAAATGATGGCATGACAATGATGGCTTATGATAATGAAGTTAAGGAAGCTCATCATTAGTTGATACACTTTGGGTGGGTAATGCCAATAGGGAAAATACCACATAATAACTGAAAATAAAACCTCATCAAACAACAGCTTCTCCCCTAACCCGGAAGTCTTCCTCCTCAGACAGACATCACAAACATGTCGGACCACAAGACGGACAAGACACCAAGTTACTGTACCTGCCGCCCTCCCACTCCCCTCACCCAGACAACACACCCGCCCTCCCCCATCCCCAACACAACCCTACCTGCTTGTTTTTGAGGTCAAGCGAGAGCTCATAGTCGGAGGTGGCGGAGTGCGAGCCGGCCCCGTTGCGCTGCACCCTCAGGGGCGAGGCTGTGTGGTGCAGGCTGGCCCTCCTGCCCGCCCCCCCTCCTTTAGCTCCTCCCCCTTCCTCCTCCTCCTCTGCCTCCTGTGCTGCCTCGCCCTCACGCCGCTCGGGCTGCGCCTCCTCTCCATCTTGCTTTCTCTCTGCCTCCTCGACTTCTTCTTCCTCCTTCTCTTGCTCCACCACTGTCTGCTCCTCTCCAAGAGGTGAAGGGGCTTCAGGGGGGTCCTGTTCAGCTTCCTCCACTTCAGGCTCAGGCTCAGGCTCAGGCTCAGGCTCAGGCTCAGGCTCAGGCTCAGGCTCAGGCTCAGGCTCGGGCTCGGGCTCCGGTACAGGCTGGGGCTCGGGTTCGAGTTCTGGCTGAGGTTTGGTTTCGGGCTGTGGTTCGGGCTGAGGCTCAGGTTGGGACTCACACTGGGGGTCTGGGGGAGGTTGAGACAGTTGCTCTGGGGATGGTTGAGTCTGTGGGGGTGGTTGAGTCTGTGGCTGTGGGGGGGGTTGAGTCTGTGGCTGTGGGGGGGGTTGCGTCTGTGGCTGAGGTTCTTGCAGCGGTTGCTCAGGCTGTGGTTGTGCCTCGACCTCACTCTGCAGCTCCCCCTCTCCTCCCTTCCCTTCCTCCCCGATAGACGGTTCTGGAGGAAGGTCATCGCTGCAGAAAGGAGGAGAAAACGCAGAGTGAGGTTGCTGCTGCATCCGTGGTGACCTCTGACCTCTTCTCCAGGCTGCCTGGGTCAGTGGTAAGAAGTTGACCCTTTTTTCTCTCTTTTTTTTTTGTGTAAGATCTCTCTGTGCTACCAACTGGGTGCAGGGCCAGTTCATCTGTCTACCTGCTCTGTTCTGTCTGCTTTAGTCTGTCTAGACACTGACAGACAATGAAACAAATAAAAAAATGTACAGCACAGCTGACAACACCACAGTGTACAAGAGGAGTGACAAAAAGATCAAGAGTGACTATTTATTTCAGCAAAAATCTTCAGGAGAGAAAAAAATGACAAAGAAAAACAAGAAAGCTGACAGCGAATTGTGACACACACACACACACACACACACACACACAGGGGACAGTCAAGCAGCCAATACAAGTGTATTTTAGATTGTTTGTGTGCTTGTAAATGGTTGCAGCTGTGGAAGGAGGCTTTTTTGGTTCTTTTATAAGACTATTTTTTTAGTTTTAATAGAGAAGAATAATGTTTTATCCCCTTTTTACTTTGTCTTTTTCTGTCTTCCCGTCATATTAGTGTCCAATTATAACGTGATGACCTTGAGTTGAATCATTCCTACTGGATTCTGACTTCCTTTCTATGTGCATGATGTCATACATGCGTTAAATATATATCTGTCTCTGCAGTAAAGGCTCTTTTATCATGCTGGTGTTATTACCAGTGACAGATTAAAGCAAATGTATCGATACATCTTAATAGAGAGAACATGAATACATAAAAAGCCATCATGTCTCATGTCTGGTAAATTACCGGAGATATGAAGTGATATAAAGTATGATTTAAATAAGGAAAGACTGGTGTCAAGAACATGGTTAGCATGTTAGCATGAACACTTTATAATAAGCACAGAATACAGTTGAGGAGGATTGGAGATAATGTGTTGCCCTCAAAATGTAATTACAAGGCAGCCTGGTGGAAACACACGAGTACATTTCAGGGCAATCCTTTAAATTATGTTTAAACTCAAAAAGCTAACTTGTGCGATACACCACCTGGAAAACATGAATGTTGGGATCTTGACCTATACACATTTGAACTTTTGACCTTCTGGTACGTTGCATAAAATGTGAGAGGATCACCAAATGTATTTAAATTCATCATCTGTACACCATTAATACCTGTAAAGGTTTCATGACAATCCGTCTAGCAGTAGTTGAAATATATCACATCGGACAGAGGTGTCTGACTGATTGACTGACATTGCCTTGACCGGAGCCACGCTGCTAGCATATTAGCATTACGCACAAATAAATCAACATGGAAAACAATTTGTCCGACTTAAAAACAAGTGCTGCCTTTGTTTCTGCTTCAGTATTGTCACAGCTGTCACAGTATCAGCAGATCAATCTGAAGTATCCTTTTGAATTCGTACCAGATTCACTCACTAGTTGACAGTGTGATAACAGCTAGGAATGTTATTACCCTGAGTAAGATAACATTTGTTTCCCCCTCTTATTGGATACGGTGAGTCAGTGAGCATAAAATCAGGACACTCAGGCTGCCGTGTGCAGAATGCTGCAGGAGAACATCAGCATGATATTCCCCAGGGGGAGAGGAGGCTATAGAGAGAAGACACACTTTAAGTCTAAACAGAAAGAGAGACAATTGAACAGTAAGGCAAAGGAATTCTCTACATCTATCTCTGTCTTTTGGTCTTATATATATATTTGTCTATGTATGCTTATTTCCTCGCCTGGTCCAGAGTGTGTTGTTGGCAGCCTAAAACCTTAAAAAACTCCAATAACTGTTCTGCAGCGTTCCGTCTGCTTCCTCTTCCTGCACAGACGGCTTTCTTTTCATTTTCATCACACATGGCAGCACATAAGCTTGAGAGAAAGCATCTTTAGTGTGGATATAGCTGGGTCTGCAGCTTCTAAAATAGAGCTCGTATGAGTAATGAATAATAAATAGAGAAATAACGGCAGCTGCTCCGACACTCAGCTTGCAGGTGAGCTTTCTGTGCAAAAAATAGACCTGCCTGGCAAACATATGACTTGTTTCAGAGGAGGGTCGGTCTGCAGCTACCGTCAACGCTCACACTACAGTATGTGTCTGCTCATTGTTGTGAATCTAAATGTTCCTATTTGCATTCTGCCGAGAGATAATCTGACAACCAATAGGCTACGTGCGGCTGGATTTAAGTCCAATACTGATAAGGGGAACCAAAATAAAGTTACAAACAGGTGATAAGGTGTTCAAAGGGGATTATCTTTGAAAATAATCCACATGAAATGACTGATGACCTGCATGTGTATTTATGTAAAGCATAGAGTTACTGTTAAGATCTTCAAGCTTCACTTTCCTCCAACCTCCAAGTCTGCCACTCTTCTCATCCTCACTGCTTTCATCCAGTTTGCTGTCATACGCTCTGTCCAAACGTCCCTTTTGCAAACACACACACACTCTGTCCTCCACGAGTTAAGGAGATTGAGTGGTTCCAGCTGTCAATGTGACTGACGAGGAGGAGACGAGCCTTGGATGCTTCCTCTCTCTCTCTTTCATCTTTCCATACGTCAGTGAAGACGGATGAGGGCAGTGTCCTCCGTTCGTTCTACCCAGAATGAAAGGACTTCCTGCCATGATTGCTAACAGGCTGGGACTGGTGTGAAGACTGGTCTGGTGTGTTTGTTTTGTCAGTGTAACGTATGGCCATCGACTTGCAATTCAACATTGACTTTGGACGGGGGTGCATGACAGTAAAGGCTTTATTCTACTTCTGGCTTTTTGCAGCATCGCAGAGATGGGGAACACACTTAATTTGTTCGTAAAGATACCGTGTTTTCACTCTTTTTCAAATATTTTGATTCTTTGATTTAAGATTTCTGTTAAGCCATCTATGGCAATAAGCTGCAATTGCAGGTGTGATTTGTTTTATCTCACTTCCCAGAGATTAATGATTTTTTGGGGGGAATGTCGCCACAGTTTGTAAAACTACAATCTCTGAAGACATCGACTCTTGGTGCTAAGCCTCTGTGAGCAGATCTGTATGCGTGCGTTTTATAGAGATTTATCTCAGATGATAACCTTTGCGTAATGAGATTTTGGTAAATGCTTTCCGCCTATGCTCTCCACACAGACTGTTTACCTGCACCTCAAACGTGATTGGACTGTTTTGCAAAAATGTATTCAACAACCAGCCCGAGGGGGTCCACTGGAGGGTAAAATACTGAAATGCCCCAGACCTGACTATAGCCACTGAGCATCTGTTGCACTGTGTGTAAGGGTGATGACATATGACAGTAAGACCACCGTCTTTATGCAGGAGGTCCACTGATTATGTCTTCATTGTCAACTCAGTCGCTGAGGACATGCTCTGACTTTCTTTAACCTTGATCGCACAGATTTTGCCGCGTCATCACAGAAGAAGTGTACAGCAGCAGGGATGAGATATCTGGCCGTGTGGATAGGGGGTTCAAAGGGTCTTTCCTCTGGTGGACAGCAGCTGCTGAAGAGGCCATTATGTGGGGGAAACCATATCAGCAGAAGTCATAGCAAATGAGATCCCTGAAGAAACTCTTTCTTTGGATCTTTCACATGGATTTGATTTCTTTGATTTCTGGTATAATTCAATTTTCCGCTCTATTTTCTGTCTCTTTAAATTATTCCTTTTAAAAAGCTAAGCAAGAATCAGCCGTCTTGTCCTCTTCCCTTCCCCCCTATATATTCTTATACTGTTCATAGAGAATGAATCACTTCATTAGGCAGAAACATAAGGGCAGATTTGGAGCGAATCTTCTGCATAGATAAGCATATTTCTTTCTTCTGGAGCATGCAGAGGGTAATGTATGGGTACATTTGCTGAATACATCACCCAAGTGTGTTTGAAATTCATCAGTTTCCACAAGCAGGAAAAACTTGAGAATTCAGACTGTGACTAACTTCAGAAGTACCTGTTACAATGCTACATTATTGATCTCTGACCTAGTAGGTGAAAAAGTCAAAAGTGTAATAACAGCTGCAAGAAAAACACAGATTCAACCGTCCTGATGTTTCTGCACTATTGCCATTTCTCTTGAGACTGCAAATCATTTTCATTCCAGTTTTTTTAGGAAGCTTTCAACCGAAAAACAACAAACACTTGCAATTAAAATGCACACTGTGGGCTTCAAATTAGCATCAAAATTACTTGGGTTTTCTCTAATCACAAGGTCAAGCTGAGTAATTTTTTTTTGGTGTTAGCAATTACAAAGAGTACATAACACAATGTTCCACCTTCTCCTAATTAATCTGTGGCTTAACCTCTTGTTAACCTCCCTGTGAACAATTATTATGCAGTTCAGGAAGGCGCACACTTTCACTTATTTTGGTTCACTTTTAAATAATGGTCGGGCAATCAGGGTGTGTGTGTGTGTGTGTGACACTACAGACTACAGGGAGGTGTGGACATGAGTGTTGCATTAGGAATGAGGAGATGAGGCAGAGTGTACATAGCATTTCTTCTGTAGCTCAAGTGTAACTTTTAAAAAAAAAGATATCCCTGGGGATCATCAGCTTGTGACATGTCGATTTAGGAAGGTCAACAAGCTGCATCATGGGGATTGTAGATCTACCACATTTGAAGCTTTATCCATTAACGCTTTGGCATCGATTTGGACCATTTTTGAAACACAAGCACTTTGACTTAAAGTGTTTGAAGGAAACATTTATTTAACATGCCGTTAAAAGAAATGCCGTTTATTAACTGTTGCATGAATGTTGACTTTCAACATATCAGTTATAAACGTATTTGTTTTCCACCAAAATATCTGATCTGCTTGTAGTGGCTCTAGTAGTATTGATCCTTTTAAAAGGTTATATTCAGGCACTAGCATCGCGTGATTGAGGCTATCGAAAGATCAAGGTCTGGTTTATTACTAAAAAAGTCAGCAGTGAATTGAGAGACGATGTGTTTATTGATGTTTACATTTGGAACAAGTCTTTCCTGAAC